TTTATCAATAAGATAAACAACTCTTATTCGAAGGAGACAATAAAAGGGAAACAAAAAGACCAGAACACCTCCTTGCCAGCAATCAACACCCAGATAAGCAGGGATTAACACCAGGATTAACACAATAAAAGGGAAACAAAAAGACCAGAACACCTCCTTGCCAGCAATCAACACCCAGATAAGCAGGGATTAACACCAGGATTAACACAATAAAAGGGAAACAAAAAGACCAGAACACCTCCTTGCCAGCAATCAACACCCAGATAAGCAGGGATTAACACCAGGATTAACACCAGACAAACAATCAGGCAGTAAACAATACCCTAATCATGAAACTACCAACCCAAATTACCTAGATGGGTAAGGAAACGTCTGCAAGAAAACAACCAAGCTCAGAGGACCCCAAGGACTCTACAGTTCAACACTGAGCTTCTCTTCTATTAGTACATGCAAAGAAATTTGCTGAAAATGTTTCACAAGCTAATTGTTTAGCAATAAACATTTCAATCTAACTCTGTGGCATACTCTCCTCTTGAAACAGGCACAGACCACTACTGAAATTGTAGAAGTTTTTAATAGATGGTAAATACTTCTGCAACTTCATAAAATATGCTTTGAAGCTGCAGGGCGAATGCTACCTAGTTGCAGAGAAAATGATAAGAGACCAAACTGAACCTGATAGCAGCAACATTTTTTATTTGTCAGTAAAAGAACAGTGCAAATACACAAGCAGTTTCAGAAGGAAATGGTGGCAAAGGAAAAAAGAGTTTCAAAGCTGTCCTTATCTAGTGTACAATATCATTTACACAGAAAAGGATAGTTTGTGCTTTAACCAAATAGGATTAGTTTCTGTTTAATCATTTTCTACATTATGAGAGTCCATGAGGAAGCCTGCTTTCTAAGGGTAGTAAAATTCCACAATAGTGCATGTAGGTTAGTGGAGACTTGTATTTTTGGTTCATTTTTAGAAAACAATATTATAAAATTGTGTCTTGGGATTTAAAGCTAAAGGACCACATTCATGGCAAAAGAGTAGTCAAGTTCTAAAATAAAAAGAACAAGCAAATCACAGCAGGTAATCAAACTTGGGAAAAAAATTGAACAAACCCTGCAGACAGCAAGCAGCAACAACAAATTGTGGTGTGTTATATAAACAATGTATTTGAAATAAACAGAAGTCTGGTCTTCTTTTGTTAGATAAGTATTGTTACTTACAATACCTTGGTTATTATAGAATAGAATTTGCACACATGGGAGTGAGCCACAATGGCCAGTGAAGGACTTGAGTACCTGGGAATATGCACATGAGTGAACTAATAGTTTTGAGAGACTTATCACTATAGAGGATAAGTATCAGAGTATAAAGAAGAAATCTGAAGAAATTTAACAAGGTAGAAAACTGATGCAAATTAGGAAATTCTGCACTAATGTATGTTATCAGAAGAAAATCAATACTGCAGGTAGTCCTTGGGTTACGACCATTCATTCAGCAACCATTCAAAGTTGTGATGGTGCTGAATGAATGGTATATACATCACCACATCCCCATACCCGGTTCACAAGTACAACATTGCAGCAAGCTGTGGTCATGTGATCGTGATTTCTGATGTTCCCTGTCAGCTTCTCACAAGCAAAGTCAATGGGGAAGCCAGCAGAAAGTCAGAAGTTGCGGTCATGTGAGGTCCTTGCTTAACAACAGCAACCAGGACTGCCAGAATTGCCATCGCTAAGTGACATGGTCACGTGATATTGTGCTTTATGACTGCGTCGCTCAGCCACAGCAATTCTGGTCCCAGTTGCCATTGTAAGCTAAGGACTATCTGTATTCTACAGTCGGTAACTTTTGCATACAGTTTGGGCTACAATATGCTTTATGTTAAAAAGACTTATTTTTAATTCAAACATATCTTTTAATGTGTTGTGAAGTACGTCCTGTTTAGATATCAGCATGGTCCTATGTGATTTGCATTGCAATTAATACTGAAATACTGATGTTAAGAATTGAAAATTGAATTTCATATTTATAGTCATTTACAGTGAGTTAAAGAGAAACCTACCAGTACTTCACTAAGTTGTTCATAATCAAACATTTCATTTTCATATTGTTCTGCAAGCTCTTTGCCCAAGACAATGGCTTCTTCCCACATCTGTTAAAAATATAATTGAATTTTAGTTAACTTTAAAAAAATCAGTTTGAAATTCAGTCTTTAGAACTAAAACTCAGTAATATTTAGTCCAATTCAACAACAGCAATAATAATTTAAATTTTATTTCTGCTTATTGACCATTCTGGTTAGCTATTCAAGGTGGCTAACCAGAAAGATAAACATAAAGAGTTAAATAATATAAAAAACTTCTAAATTATTTACACATTAACCAATTCAGATTAAACTCTCCTGGCTAAAGAGAAATATTCTGATTCCTTTCCTACCACCTCAGTTTTTAATGCTCTGAGAAGTTCATCACTCCAAAGCACAAAATGGATTAGTAAAATAGTAAATCACAGCAGTTATTGGGCAACAATTTAAAAAAAGAAACAAAAACCTCTGTGTTTTCCCCTTCACTTTGGAATAAGAAATAGACTTTATAAGTTTTAGATTAGACTTAGAATAGGTAAAGTTCTCTGGTGAGAATATATAACTACAAAACACCATTGTGTCAACTGAGCACAGAATAAAATCATGCAAGATATTCTTACTGAGTCATTTAGTATATTAAAAAAGCTTAACAGTACATTTAAAGTATTACTTTACCAACAATAGAATCATATTTCCCTATGCTGCATAAAATATCAGGTATTCAGTAGACAACTTACAATCCCTTTTCTGTCATAATAAAAACATGCAATTTATTCTGTTTTCTTCTTAAAGAATGAAGGAAGATATATCAGTTTTCATTTTTGACCATGACTACATTGATGTAGTTGTAAGGAATTTTTAAGGCCTTTTCCATAATTTTTACAAAGCACCATTATAGCCTATTGTTGCAGAAACTAGGATGGATGGATGGATGGATGGATGGATGGATGGATGGATGGATGGATGGATGGATGGATGGATGGATGGATGGATGGATGGATGGATGGATGGATGGATGGATGGATGGATGGATGGATGGATGGATGGATGGATGGATGGATGGATGGATGGATGGATGGATGGATGGATGGATGGATGGATGGATGGATGGATGGATGGATGGATGGATGGATGGATGGATGGATGGATGGATGGATGGATGGATAAAAATTAATTATTCATTCATTCCTACAAAGCAACAAGAATTACAGAAAGCTATTGATAGAAAAGAAGATCTATCGGCATGGGATTCTATGGAACCATAAGCTGCCAAAACAGGAGAAAAATACGAAAAGCCTTTTTCTCTGGGGAAAGGATAGGATACATGTGCATAGACACTCAGATACACACAGAGACATGTAATAAATATATCATGGCATTATACACATATTTTAAGACTAGTTTCTATTATTCCATGAAGACTCTACAACAGTCTCCATGTTCACCACAGAATATTTATTGAGAATACAATGTGACTATCACAAATGATTCTGACAAATGAAATCTACAATTCTTTTTGAAAGTCAATAATGTCCAATCTCTGCTGTTTCTAAGATTTCCTGCTTTCGAAAAAATATCCTCAACATTATTTATGATATGACAAATTTCTAGAAGAATGAGCTACACTAAGAAAGATATTCAGTAAATAACAGCATTTTCCCCATACATGCTTTAAATATGTTAAAGAAAAAGGTTATCTTAAAAAAGCGAATAAAGCTGGAGAAAGTACTCTACAAAATGACTCCTTTGAACAAAGAAAATGCAACTTTTTAAAATGAAAGCATAAATCTTAAGATTGACCAGGGGATCAGAATTTTGGTACTCCTTTTGTTGACAAAGAGTCAGATTCTAAAAGGGAGACTCCCCTTTTTAACACAGAGATACTTAACATTTAAAGTTCAATTTAAGCAGTTATATTCCTTTTTTGTGTGTGTGCCTTCAAGTGAGTCTTAACTCCTGGCAACTGCCTGGACAAGTCCCTGCAATTTTCTTTGCAAAATTTTTCAGAAGTGGTTTGCCACTGCTTTCTTCCTAGGCTGAGAGAGACTGCCTCTCCTAAAGTCACCCAGCTGGCTTTGTGCCTACCACGGAACTAGAACTCATAGTGTCCTGGTTTCTAGCCTTGTGCCTTTAACCAGTAGATCAAACTAGCTCTCAGTTATATTCTTACATTTTAATTCATCACCTGTTTAAAATAGGCTCCATCATTGGAATATTGATTTAGGAAAATGTAGGTACTTTAAAAGGAATATACAAACCACTGGAATATTTTCCTTATATGTTTACAATAAGTTTAAATTAAGGATCGATGAAAGATTGTGTAGGTAATAGTAATGACATTTTATAAAAGGAAAAGACTGGCTCCTGCCATTAGAAATAAATGAGCACATCACGTAGCAAAACCCATGTAAAGGAAATATATAGTATATCTTATGCATAGAAAACATATGTATAGGAAAGATAAAATGCTGGTTTAAGGAAACATCTGTTTTAACTCTAGATAAGAAGGCATATGTTTTAATTCTAGATAAGAAAAGAATTATATGTGATAAGCGAATGCATTTCATTCTATTGATAATGATTGGCTAAATCTTAAAAACCTATAAGAAGGGAGGCAGAGGA